CCCGCCTCTTCGCGCCTGAGGCTTGGGACGCACATATGCACTTTGAATTCTACATTTTCTCTTAGTGCGGGCGTATTATCAAATGAAATTTTCCATTGCCGTGTACTGTTAAATATTGTTTTAAGAACTAACAATCGATGTTGCGCAACAAAATTGTGCCTAAGATCCACTACAATAAAGTTTTGAAAAACTGTTGAACCTATTTTAAATCGCCTGATTGATTGCGGACGCAAGTTCGTATCAAGAAAAGATTAAATTAAATTAATAAATCAGAGACAATTGTTAAACCAGATGTTCAGCGGATATTTTCTAAAGAAGGCAGGGTCAATTTATGAAATACGCTCAAGATTAAGTGCAAATAAAGTGTCACTACTATTATTAATAACTTTTAATGCAATAATATGTTCTATTATTTGTTATTTTATTTTGTCCCAACAAATTATCAATATTTGGATATCTATTTTGTAATCTTTCATATTTAACATAAAATGATAAACATCATTACTGTTTTGTAATAATATATAATAAATATGTTTTGAATTTAATTGAAAAAATATTTGAGTTTACCTCGGTTATTTCAGAAAACATGGGTTCCGTCTTCTTATTTTCTATCACGCAACGCATTCTTGATGTTAAGACGATACGAATCTCTCTTCAGCTTATAGTTGCAAAATATGTAAAACGAATTTATTAGGGCTTATTTGCACTTCTCTATATTATTTATATGATTGTGTTTACCACGCGTCAAAATGGATATACGCTTTGATTCCTTTATGATTAAATCTTTTCAATTTTTCAAAAATTTCAAGCGTCAAAACGTGACATTTGAAAGTGAGACTGACATAAAATGTGAAAAATGAAGTCGATGCCGATTATTTTTGGTCGGTCTTGTGTATTATAACTTATTATTCGCGTTACCTCTTTTATTGGAATAAAAAACAGTGCGCGATAGCAGAGCGAGAAAATCCGTTTTTCGAGCTTCAAAGGACACTTTTGGCCCCTGTATCAAAAACTTCTATTTGCATTAACCAGTTTTCACTGCAAAGTTTTCCGCATTATTGGCAAATGGACTTTTGGCAGGAATCGCCCTGGACCATTCGACATCGTTCCCCAACCATCCCTGCGGCCCTGACACGAAGGAGCGCAACTACACCATTTGCTTTGCCACGTTCTCCGTCCTGATGGGCGCCGCCCTAATCACAGCCACCCAGATTAACTTCAAGTATGAGGCGGCAGGTCGGGAACCGGGAAACCGCGCCCCCAGTGTAGACCACGAACTGGTGCTGTCTAAGGAGGATCAGATGCAGGCACAGCTGGCCGAACAGCTCAACCTGCCGTCGTTGGCGGACACCAGGGCAGAGGTGACATCAGCGCCTAAGGAGCAGAAGGTATTGTATCCTGGGCAGGTTGAAAGCGTACGCAAAACGTACTCACTTCGGGAACGTTTGCAGAGCAAAATCTTCGCGCAGACCATCCGCGAAATGCCCGAATGGGTGACGGTGCTCGGTCACTTCAAAAACCTCAAGTGCCTCTCCTTCCTGTTCGTCGCCTGGTTCATGGGCTTCGGCATCGGGCTGATCTTCACCTTCCTGTTCTGGCACCTGCAGGACTACGATGGCACGCCCACCCTCTTTGGAGTCGCCTCTGTGATCAATCACATCTCCGAGATTTTCGCCTACTTTTTCAGTTTCCGCCTCATCAGGCAGCTGGGCCACGTGAAGGTGCTCTGTTTGGGGCTGGTGGCCAACATTCTGCGTTTCCTCTACATCTCGTGGCTGACCAATCCCTGGTGGGTGCTACCGTTCGAGTTCATGCAGGTTAGTCGTTTACCCAACTAGACATTACCACCATTAAAATCACCACTAATACACTTTCCAAATGCAAAAAAAGATCACCAATCGGGAAAAATAAGGGCAGGTTTTTCGAAAAATGTATGTACATATGTATATACAGGGTGAGTTTGTTGCGATGATCTTCGAAACTATAATCATCATCATCATCATCAATCAGCCCAGCTGTGTCCACTGCTGAACATACGTCCATCGTCCGTCCGTCATTCTCGCCACGTGTTCTGCCCAGTTCCACTTTAACGTTGATATGCGTTCAATTGCATCGGCAACTCCAGACATTTGGCGAAGTCTGATATTAGAGACTGTCTCTCAATGATACTGCCAACATTTTCTTATCAATGGTACACTTTCTAAAAAGGCCATTTATTTCTGTCTAGAATGATGTACAAATGAGCGTTCTTGCTCATTTTGCCTCCGAGAAATGAACAAAAATGGGACGGAAAACATG